CATGAAGAGTTGTAAAGCAGAGCTAGACTAAAAATCAGGTTATGGTACTGGCTACAGTTTCAGAAGATTTGGATGATGGTGACATGGCACATAGAGTAGGCAGGAGATCTCACTGACTCATTGGCGAGGCATTGTGTAGAGGCATGACCAAACTGGGCTTAATGAAAGAGAAAGCTTTGCAAGGCAACAGTCATTCCTGCTTCCCATGTCTGCAAAGATGGTCTGGGATTTGAAGAAGTCATAGACTGTCTTGGCTGTCTACTAACAACTCTACTGAAATCATCATGAACAGGCACATTTTAATGTGCCAAATAGAAGACCTTCTTACTTCTGTCTTTGTAGAAGACAGACATATAAAAAAGCCTAAACATGACCACTCATTTAAAGACTCTGTTATTCATAATCATTCTGAAAGAGCAGGCTTGAACCAGTGATGTTCACTCAGCAGCACGGCACGCCAGCTTTTAAGGCGAAGCCTTTCACAGCACCCCTGCATCTCAAACATAGCAAGAGGTAGTAACCTGGCAGTAAATGGGTAATATTCTGTGTTTTTTCCCCTCCAACTCCCAACAGTAAGGACAGGTAAAGGATAGGAAATACTATAAAGCAAATACATGTTTAATTTTCTCTTTTTCTCTTCTGTGTGTTGGGGTTTTTTTGGTGTGGTTTGGTGTTTTTTTTTTTGTTGTTGTTTTGTTCTGTTTTGGTTTTTTTCCCCATCAGTGAAAAACATACAGAAACATTCAAAGACTAAGAGTTCAGACCAGGTTCTTGTTATTCTGCCCTGCCCGTATGAGAAGATTAAACGCAGTTACCGAACTCTGCATACCACCCTCAGTCACGAAGAACCCTCTGGCACAGCTCCCAGACCAGTAAAACACGGCCATTTCAGTCCCCAAAGCATGGAGCCTGATCCATTTAAGCAAAACAAGTTCTACTGACAGCTGGTTTTCTTAGCATATTCACGTCCGAGTATTTATCAGAGAACAGCCCTCCAGGACGACAGTGTTTATTGCAGGATTATTTCTGTGAATCCAGGGAACACAGCATTCACTGAGCAACAGCGTTTCTACCCTTTTATCTTTTTCCTTTAAAATGTGAACCAAGACAAACCTATTTTTATTTTCTTTAACACAGACAACCCAAGAAGAAAACAACCCATACATTTTATCTTTTTTTAAAATCTTCTGATCCACATTCATGTGTAGTATGCCGACACACAAAATTAGCTGTTCAATATCGCACTGACTCCTTGGACTTAGAGTCTAGCAACTTTTAATAAATGGAAACCAAAGGTATGATGGGTATTTTTATTACAAATTTACTTTCCATATGAATACTATACTTTCACTAGAAAGATAATTTTGAGCAAGCAAGATGCTTTCTACCAACAGGTTCAGAGACATTATGAATAACGCATGGAAATGTGACAGAGACATAAAGGGTAAATATCCCAGGAGCTCCTCGTCATGCTGAGGAGTGCAGAAGCAGCCTCAGAATACATCTGTGCCTGCCTAGCAGGAGGAGGAGGTCAGGTGGATGAGCAAGTGAGGGGCCTCAGGTACTGACACTGCGTAACGCTCTGACTCTCTCCCCAGAGCACAGCAGCCATCAGCAGGAGATGAAGAGAATCCTGTGGCCAGCCCCATGCCCTGAGGTGGGAGGAGGAACAGGACAAGCCATAGGGGACACACTCACAGATGCTGACAAGCACCATCCTCTCAAGTTGGGTGGTCAGTCTGTGAGGTTTTCTAGCTTACCACTTCCTCCAGAAGTCTGCAGAAACTTGTTTTTATGATACTACAGTTATGATGGTAGCTTTTAAAGAAAATGCATATCATAAATATCCCATGTTTCATTTTAACTTAATCTAATTTTTGAAATCATTAAAAGCAACTGTCATTGGCATCTAATCTGCTTATTGATGCAGTGCAGTAAAGAATAATTCTTAAAATTATAAATGAAAGTTGTTTCAAGTGATTGAGTTCAAATTAAAGAAACTAAGTAGAAATTGCTGTTAATATGTTTTGAACAACTAGTATTTAAAGGAATGGTTTTATATTAGAAGGCTTTAATAAAAGAATGAAATCAGGTATAGTTATGAATAATTATTGCTGAGAATTTTTATAATCTAACACAAATGTTTCCCATCCCTAAGTGTGGGATTGTTATTTTACTGTAAGAACTGGACTTGACACTCCTGCAGCCAGACAACACCTCACACACAAGTCAATGGAACGCCGATACTGACTTGAATGAGCTACAATACATCTCTACTACATTTCTATCCCCTGCTTTAATATATGAGCTTTTTCAAGCCAACAAATGTACTAATATCTTAGCCTCAAACCATAAAAAGTGGACATGTCTCTCATTTTGCAAATGTCTCTTTCAGAGTCTATGACAAAGGGCAGTCAAAGTCTTACTAGCATTATGTTTACCATCCCTCTTAAAATAGAGCAAATGTGCTTTACAATAACCCTTTAAAGCAAAAACACTATATTCGTATTGCTAGGGCTCATATTTTGCTGACAAGATCTGTGGGTATGTATCATTTTTAGAAAATGCAGTGTGGGAATGCATGTTTATACGGTAGAGCACAAAAGCAATTAAACCTCTTGGGAAAGTAGGAGATAACTCACTTTACACAAACAGGCCCTTCGCTCTTATTTCTCTACAAAACTGAAACATTTCTATCTGAAAATGTTTTTTCATATGTCAGGAAAATGCTATTCCTGCTTGCTTGTTCTTCCTAAGGTGAACAGAGTTTAGTATTAGCAAAATAATTGTGGGAATTTGGTATTTTTCCTGTTTTGTTGAATACTTGGGAATGTTATGTTGGGAACTGTCAACTACTACTTACTCCACCTCAAAATCTGCTGCATAAAAAAATACACTGGTAATTTGCTTACATGGCTTTTGTAGATGCAATTACTGTTAGCAGCAGGAAAGAACTTTCATAAGCAGAACACAATTCAAATGTAACATGCCATGGCCTCAAGTCATTAAACTAATCCTCAGGGCTTCTTGAGGCTTTTTGTACTTTTGGCAAAAAGTATAAAGAAGTATGCATTGTTGCTTCAGTTCCCAAACAGTGGAAAGTTAAATATCTAGACTGTCAGCCCCTGCTAAACAGAGCAGAGGGAAAGAATAAGAGACAACTATACCTTTGTTACTAAAGTGCAATCGAACAAACATTGAAAACATACCCATACTTTTTTCATGGCACACAGGAAGTAGCCAGCAGAATAAAGCAAGAGGCAAGAGCTCACAAGCAACTCTGGTGTTATGGGTTACCAGTATCTAGAATACTGTGATGAATGCCCTACAAATGCACGAGGATGGATTGAGTTAGATGACTGAAGTGGCTCAACTTTGATATACAGATAACGTGACAAGGCGTGGCATGGAACTCCAGGGTTTACTGGCATGATTTTAACATGACTACGTAAGCTATAAATGACAAAGCCATAAATACATCAGATGTGTCAGATATATACTAACACCACTTGAATATCTTTCTGTTATATTGCTCTACATCACACATCTAAAATCAGATATTTTTAGGGCACTGACAGAAAGTGCAATACTTTTAGGAAGACAAAGTGTTCCTTTGTATTGTTACTCTTCCTGGAATCAAGAGGTTAAGATCTTTCTAAAGATACTGTTGAAAGTGGGAAAATAAGCAATGTATTCATTAGCACAAGGGTCATTTAGACAGACATAGTGGCCTGAAATACACTTAAGAATCAACATGTTATAGAGCTGAAAATACAGTGGAAACTAATGACAGCCCATTTGCTTTTAACAGCAGCTGAACAAGAAGAATCTTTTGGAACACGGAAGGATAATTACATGTTTAACTACAATTATTCCCTCAAATAATGCTGACAATAAGTAGTGAATTGCTAAAAAATATGAAAATGTGAAAGCTGCTAAATATATTGTGTGTGTTTGCATGTGCATGCATAATCTGCATTTTCTTAAATAAAATATCAATGAAGTCTTAGTCCTTTATCTCAATCCAATCTTGGTTTTTGTTTTTTAAATCGCATCTAACAGTTTATACAGACCAATGCCCTGTCGAGCAAAATGCAAGATACCATGTTCCTTCACTCACACAAACTTTATCATTAAAACTGTGGTAGTCAGTGTTTCCCATCTTTTCTTCTCTACCCAGAAGTGTCATCACCATTTCAGAGGAAAGTCACTGCGTCACTGAAACAATGCTGGATCAGTTTGACTGCTGTATATCTGAACAGTCTAATGTAGTTACTTTTTTGAAGCAGACATTACAAGACTGAGATACTGAAGGGAAGGAGAAGCATTGAGACACTCAATTCCAGAAATGGAAGAAGAAAAAATTAATAAAAGCAGACTGATTTCTAATCCTCACCCTTCCACTTTAGCAGTAGAAACTAATTTCTCAGCAAATCTGTTTGCCAATTGGTAAACAGATCAGTAAGGTTCAAGAATCTTCAAATAAAATATTCAGATATTCTCCTGGAAAAAAAGTAACTTATTAAAGTTGCAAATGTCTAAAAAACGGTTAATAAAGCCCGTTAGCTTCTATGACAATACTTTATTCAAATGTATTATGTTTATACAAAGCACCTTCCCAAAAGAAAAAGAAATTAAAGATTCCCCCCCCGCAAAAAGCTATCAGTATGCTGTACCATAGGAGGTACCCAAAATATACTGCTATAGGTAAATACAGCATAGTTATCAGATTATGATGCTACAGGACTATCAGATGTAGTCAGTGATGACTATTCTTCATCCATATGTGGTCCAGCCATAGACACAGAACTACCTGAAAGAAGATTTGTAATTTTTCCACCACACACACACTCACAGTGATCACTATGACTTAAGCAACTCAAAGCAATCCCATGTTACCACCTAGCAAACAATCCTCACATATATCAGAAAAAACCTGAAAGTTCAGAGATAAAGTAGAATGAACACTCCAGAAAAAAAAATAAATCCGTCTCACTCACTGTTCAATACGTGGGGAGAGGTACAGCTTAGGAAAAACCTGAGTAGCTTCTGCATCCTCAAAACTAACGGAGAGAAGTGCAACATCTTCTCCAGGATCTTCATTCACATCCTGTACATAAAAAATAATAAATATAAAATGGCAAATGACAGAGTACTTTAAGCTTACAGATAACAACTAGTAAGTCATATCCCAATTACTTTAGGAGAGACTAAGTGAGGAATCTAAAGTGTAAACACTGAAAAATACATTGCAAATTCTTTCTTACTATATTAGTACTTAAAATATTCTGTGATGCTTAATTTAAAGTATCAAAATAAAACTAGTGTGTTGGCAAGTGTTCAGCGGTGTAGTGTTCTTCAATTAACTGAATTACATATTTCAGTAAAGATGCAGATTTCAATTTTAAGAATTCCTGGTTTAACACTAAGATGCAAATTACAAAGAATTTTTAAAAATGCTACAATATCATTGATTTATGACCACAGATTTTATATTTGTTATTTTTCAAAGCAGTATATGGTCCAAAATATCTGCTGTATTCAACTCCTACTTTCTCTTGTGAATGAAAAATGTTTTTGTGATCAGAAATTTGTATCTAGAAGTCATTGTCCCCAAGTTTCCTGCAAATCAAACCTATGCATTACTTGCAGCAAAAACTACTGTAAGAAAAAAAAAATCATGCTAAATATGGTGACAGTCAATGAATTCACAGTTGGGGCCTTTTTTGTATCAGAACAATCAGTTACAGTTTTGGGTTCAGCTAGAACAATTTGTTTCTGGTTAGGACCTGACATCTCTCCAATTCATAAATCACATATAGTACGAACAAGCGTATTTCTGCTACACACAACTTCATTTAAGCTCTGGACCTCTAGTTAGAAAGTAATGAGTTAGCAGTGTAGTCACCTTCATCAACAGCAAGTAATACGGTGTCACTCGCTGCTCACAAAGAAGTCCTTTAATGTGTTTGTGCATATGTACATAGCAACTTGCCAAGATGCATTTGTTTTTATCCGTTTTGGAAAAATACAAGAGGAAATAGATAACCCAGCAGATATGTTCTCAAAGCAGGATCAACATGGTGCAGTGTGCCCTGGTATGCTCTGTCCCACAAGCAGCTGTGAGGAAGGAACATGAAAACCACTTAAACATTGTTAGGAGATCCTGCCCTAACTGGGGAGAAAAAAAGAAAAAAGTGGCTGCTGAGTGGTTTCAGGAAGACAATCTCATGCCATTTGAAGCTTTGGCAGGACTGAAACTGTTAACGTCCAGAGAGACTAGTTGCATACCAGTTATTATGTGCAGCACACAACACGCCAAGAAACTTAGTGATAAGCTGCAGGGAAGAATGGGTCTTAAAAAAGCCTAATTGTCTTAGATGAAAAACGAGACAGAGCTGACAGTGTTTTCTTAAATTCTGCCCTGGTGTGCAGCTCACTTCTGACAGCTGAAAGAAAAGCATACTCTTAAAAATGCCTATAGAACGGTCATGAGAACACTGTGGCTGGAAATCAGAACACAGTTTTAACCTGAACTTGCAGGACAACACTCCATATGAGTGGTGAGGACAAAAACTAGTTGCTGTCCTGTTGGGGTATGATCAGTTTATGGATGGGATTATGTGACACGGTTGCCTGTAATGGCAACAGACAGGATCTTGTGACCCACAATGTTCCCTTCAGCGTTAAGTATCCAAGGGATACCGTCATCTACAGTAGAGCCACCAGCACAGATTACAAAACCTTTTTCAACAAGACAAACAACAACAAAAACATACGCAAGAGGGCAATTCCCCCCAACCTTTTCCCCAGTACTTCATTTACTTCCATCACTAAGGAAAAACTTTAAATGAGGAACAGCATTCACTCCTGAAGCTGAGTATGGCATTAACTGGATTTTTCCCATTAATTTGCTAATTGTGAATCAAATTAAAAGAACTATTAAGACAGATTAAGCAGTAATGCTAATGATTAAAAAGGTTTTATTTTAATGGGCACTCTTCAAGAGATGACAAGTACATATAATACATTCACTTGCATATGTATACAACTGAGACTGTATTCTTTTGTTTGTAATTTTTTTCAAATAATTTGTTTTTACAGAATAGAACCCACATGCATTTTACAAGCTACATGGAAATACCCAAAATGTATTTAATCTTGCATTTATTATTAGTGCTTAAATTGATGTGCACACACAGACTGACACCATGCGTTAAAACCAGTTTTTAGAACGTGCTTACAAATCAAACAAAATCAAAAGAAGGGGAAAAAAATCAACCCCAAAGCAGATTAGGTGAACACCACTACAGCATTCATTAACCCATACAGTAATACTACACTGCATTTTCTACAGTCACTAGTGGCTTCTTTGATATGAAGACTTATGATAGAGGAAAAAAACTCACATCATAAATCATCATGGTATCTGCATGTTAAGCTGCAATAAGCTGATGTGTGTAGTAAAATCAATAAACTGAGGCATGATTTTTTCTTCATTTAGAAAAATAACACACAACAAACACTACTTCAAACTACAGTTGGCAGCACAGCACTGCATTATGTTCATACAGCTACTGTCCAATGCAAATTTAGGTAAAGAAATTGGCATTCTTCTATAACTACCACTTTTCAAATGGATGCATATTTTCAGCCTTGAGAAATGAAAACTGTAACTTAAAAAAGACCCCAAAACCCCAGCATTCCTGTAGGTTTTAAAAGATGCAGTGCAGTAACACCATGAAGTTGCTCAACCTTCCTGCTCAGGTGGCTGCAGATTTACACAAATTCATGATGAAGTCCCTTCTATCTGACACCATACTCTTTACTCCTTTCAGACTTTGTTACTTTTATTTATGCAAGAATCCGATTGGTAGAACTACATTCAATCCTAGTATGTCTGTTACAAATGTCGTTTATAAAACTAAACCAAAACCACATGTCTTACAGATAAACTGTGGAAAGCTTTTCAACTAATAGAGCTTTTTTGTTGTCTGTGCCAGTCACAACTTAACTCCTTCCATGATCTCTCTCCTGGTCATCTCTACAAACCTGTTAGTGACTAGGTGAGATGATGGATCCTTATATTACTAGGCAATGACATTTCCCCAGAATCAGGGCTGAGATCCTTCCATTACACAGCAGTATCCAAAGGCAGAAGTTGTTTTAATGCTTCCTATCAAACTCTGCCCAGGCAGTGTCTTCCCCTTTCCCATATCTGCATGTGTATTTCTCTCAAAGATTCAAACAGAGCAGCAAAGCAAAAACCACCTCTATTTTTATTTTTCAGTTGGCTTCAAAAGAGGGAGTGACAGACAATTGCTTTGGCAGTACTATTCCCTTTTAGGAAAGAAGGCTGTTGAACTAAAGTCACAATACATTTTTTAATATTTAAGTAGCGATATTCCTTTTCATAATTTGTATTTGACTCGTAACACAATGCTAGGCCATTTTATTTAAAAATTTGATTTTCTATTTAAGAAAAACTGATTTTGTAAAAATTAAGAATGGTAATTTTCTATAAACATTAGCTTCCAAGCTTAGAACTGCCACATTAAAGTACCATTTTATACTCACAGAACTTTTTCCACACAAGACTCTACAGAAGGTATTATTAAAATGAATTTCCACTGAATGGAGAACACATCCTGGGCCACAGGAATTTTGAGGTTTAAAAACTGAATGTTTGTAAAAATGTTTGAAATCATTAGTTAAGCATGTGATGATGCACACCTATTAGTTTTTCCACAACAGACTCATGCTTGATAGCAAAAAAAACCCCCTTTAGTGCACTGCAGTGTAAAAGATCTGACATAAATTTTCATGGTGTCTTTCTGTCATCTTGCTATCACATATTTCTTTTTTAAAAAATAATCTTTTACTCATTTCAGAAAATGCCCATTCAAATCAAACAGGAAAAAAAAAAAAGGATACACCACTGAACAGTGAAAATAAATAGTTTTCTTTCTCAAGAACTGCAAGGGGTTTCCTATGTTTACAGGATACCTTGCACAGTGTGGACTGATACTTGACTAAAACTCCAAAGTGCTGTGGAAGTGCAAAATATACATAGTAAAGCAATGTGGTGAGAAAGAAACAACAAAAAAAAATCTAAAGATTTTCAACCCCTAGGCTTTTTTCTGTTACAGAGACCTTCTAGAAACAACTTACAAGAATAAATAAAACTTTTTCACAAAGCATGAAGAGAAAGCGAATAGTATTTCATTCTAATTTATCTTTTGTCTACTTAGCCAGTGAAGATGAAAGGTTCATTAAGAATGTATTTTTCAAACTCGAGAACAAGTGCCCATGTGAAAATACAAATGCAGTACAGAACAGATGAAAATGGAAGTTTGAGGGTATCTAGAAATTTCTTTTCCCCAAAAAACTTCAGGGAAAGACTTCAGTTATCACAAGACTCCAAAGGAAAACTTAAAATCCTACTTCTGATTATATCAACACTGTGTAAATAACCATTTGCTAGTTTTCAAATGTATCAATCTATATTTACATTCAAATGCATGCTTCAATGTTTACAGCTGCTCCCTTTGCAAGATACTTAATCTTTTAACAAAGTTAGTATGAGTTGTTTATGAAAATTATCATCAAAACCACTTTAAATACACCATCCAAATGGCATTGTTTTCTCGTATCCTACCTACTGTAATTGAAAACTGGGAATTTACTGGAACTGACAATTTATTATGAGTCAGATGGTTGATAGCCAGTCCAACCAAAACATCTGCTCCGCACAGTCACAACTGCTATAACCCATTTCCTCTTGTGCCTGGAGTCCAACCAAGTTGTACATTACAGTTCCTTTTCCTTAAAGATGCAGACTCTGGAAAATCAGTTATTACCTTTTCTTAGTTATCAACTAAGAATCGCCTTGCAACCTCTGATTAGAGTATCCTTTCCAGAGAAGGTATTTCTCTATTTGGCATGCAAGTGTGATTCCCTGCACCAAACAGCAATGCATAAAGTTGTAAGTGACTGCAGGCTTATCCCAGGCAGTGGCAGGACCTGCCTTTCCACGGAAGGTCTGAGCGGTAGGGGCGTGTGACTGAGGGAAAAGATCCTGCAATGGGCTGATGTATAAATCAAGGACCT